TCATGATAATGAGTCTAGACTGACCGTGTGACCGTGTCTGAGACCAGGACCAGATTTTTTGATAGTCTCATTACCAATTCGACTGATCTCATTACACGGTTTTAACATTAGATAGTAGTCTCATACTGTCTCAGTGAGACTTACTGTCTACTCTTATCACATTTTTCAAATGGGATCATGATTTCCACTTCTCAATTTAAATTATTTTTATTGCTTTAAATGACTTTAAATCTCATTTGAGTGTTATCAAAAAGTGTTACTTTTTAAAAAATTAAAAATAGTCTAAAAAAAACCTTAAAATGTCTAAAAATAGTAACTTTATGTCAAGAATGGGACTAAATGAGACCAAATGGGACCACTTTCTCATTTTTTTCAAGTCATGGTTCCATTTTAAGATCTGATATATAGTCACTTTATCTGTTTTTTTGATAGCCAGTCCCAGCGGGATTCACGCCAAGAAATGTATGGGACCAGATCAAATGGGACCAAACGTGAAATTCATGGTCCCGGCAGCCAGTCTAAATGAGTCAGTGTCTTATAGACTCTATAACACTCTTCTTCTATTTTCTCTCAAAGATTTTTTTAAAAGTTTAATAAGACTACACAAGTGTAAAATTTCTGAAGCAGTTAATAAGAAAAGAAAGAAATATTTGAAATTAATAAAAAAGATTGATATTATTAATCTGTGAGCTGCTACTATTCTAATAAGATTACAGTCTGCTGAAAAAGTAAAAAGAGAGAATTTCAGAATCTACTTATTAATAATTATACTTTCACTAAACTTATTCTTCACTGTTGAAGTCTCTGACACTGATATCTTTATCTGCTAAGAAGTTAGCACTGCAGTACTGTAGAGAAGCATGCTGTAGAAGAGTATAAGAGATACTGAAAGTATTAACTTATTAACTTATAAAATATCTCAGTTATCTGTTTTAACTGAAGTGAGATTCTCTTCAATCAGTGATTAATCTTCACAGTACTTTTAATAATAGTGTCAGCTAATCTCTTCTTAAAATCAGTCATTCTGAGATATTTTTTCATCTCACAGATTTATACTTTCATCTTCTTTTACAGATGAGTAAGAGAAATCTCTTCAGTCTTAATAGAATCTATCAATACTTGAAGCTCTGAAACTCTTACTCTGTACTGCTTGAGTATCTAGACTTCTTATCAGAGCTGATATAACATCTTTCTGTGAAGTAATACTTACAGAGAGACAGAAGTTGTTGTTATAGATATAATGAAAATAACAGAAGTAAGAGAAGAAATAGATATATTAAATCTCTCTCTTCTTCAGCTACTTAATACAGTGCAGACAAGTAGCAGTGCTGATCAGAGACTGCACTGAAGCCTCTTCACAGAAAGAAGATGAAGAAACTGTGAGATTCTGTGAACTCAACTCAGCAGCAGTCTGAGCAGAGCTCAGATATACTGTGAGAGAAGAACTATAGATTAAGCTTCTTAAAGTCACTGTTTTCAGAATCAAGCTCTCTCTGAGTTCCTCTCTGAATGACCACACGGGGTCATATGTTACTGTGTTGACTGAGGGGAGAGACAGTGTTGCAACAGCAGTGAGAGAAGCAGAAGACATACCAGACACAGACACATCAGCTGGCAGAAGAAATGACATCTCACTACAAGACACAGCAACTACTGCTGCAGCTGCAAGAGAAGCAGAAGAAGATGTGATAATGAGAGCAGTGCTTCTGTGACTCATTGACACTGTCATCTTCAACCTGGCTTTCTTGACAGTTATGAAGGCTGCAGCTGCATCATGAAGATGTTTGTTACTTACTAGAAAATGACAGAATAAGTCTCTTATTATCTCTCAAGAATGATGCTTTCATGCACTCACTATTGCAGATGAGAGAGAGGGAAGAAAAATGTGTTACAGAGAGAAAGAAATCTTTTTGAAAAATCCTGTCACTACTGTTAGCTTTGTCTCTAAAACACATCACTTTTACAGAGAATTTTATATATAGAACAGAATATGATAAGAGATCTGTAAGTTACTTATTAACTATATTTTTCACATTTCAAATCAGTATATAAGAAACTCACATATCATATATTTGATTTGAATGAAGATGAGAAAGAAAGATCTACACAGTTAGCAGAAAAACTCATCTATTTCTTTATATCACATATAGTATATGTGCTGTTAAATCAGTTAACAATTATTACTATACAACAAAGATAATTTCTAATCTGATAATCTTAAGAGTATTGAGACTATACTCTTAAAGAGAAGAGTATTATCACACTTCTGACTGTATCAAGATCTCACTGTGATTTCACATAGCTTATTACTTTTATACAGATGATTTCATTCATTCTGTAGACTGTTTAAATGAGTTTTCAACTACTCTATAACATTATTCAGATATATCATAGAAAGATTCAATTGATAAATATAAGAATCTCACTTCTATATAAGATCAGTAGATTACTTTTTCTTAGTAGTAAGATACTGCTGAGATATTACTTCAGCTATTCTTACTCATTGAATGAGAGAAGATATTCACTCATTATCTATATAGAATAGCTAGATACTGACTTCTTATAAAAGAAGTCAGTGATTTGTTTTTCTTTTACTGAAATATATACAAGAGTTACTATATGTCTTATATAATCTTCTTAGTATACTAAGTATTATATCTGTGATATTCTCACAATATCTCTGTAGTCTATGAGCTCACTATTTAAGCAAGATAGTCAAGCTTACTTATATGACTTCTCAATAACTATCTCTACATGACACTGCTGACTAGTCACTGCTTTGATTTCACCATGTTACACAAATCACTAATTTCAAAAGAAATTAAATATTGATATATCTGAATATAGAATGAATATAATAGTAGTAATAATAAATATCAGTTAGATGAGAAGAAGTTAAACTTATCACTGACATTAAGTAGTTCATTAAAAAGACATCACTGAACCTGGTATTCAGATGCAGAAATGTATAAGAAGAAAATTCAGTTGATAGAGCAGTGTCTGTGTCTGAAGATAAAATGAATGTATTTTCTTTCTTTCAACAAAGATAATTTGAATTGAATGATTACAAGTGTGATAAAAATAAAGAATAAAATATTATATATCTTTTCATTAAGCAGAACAATGATGCTGAATACAATTACAACATGAAAGTTTCAATCTCTTAAAGAAATGAAGATAAGTAGTATTAGATTTTAGCAAATATATTAACTTTTTAACAGAATATTAAAAAATTTTTGATCAACTTAGCTAATCATTTATTAATATAGAATTATGTTCAACAGAAGAAGACAAAGAGCAGAGAAAGTTCAGTGATAATTAGATTATATAACTACTATAAAGAATTAATCATCTTTGAATACTTCTGTGATTCATTTACTGCTGAAAAGTTCTTTCTGTTTTTTTACTGAGTACAGAGAATCATTGACTTCAATTGATTCTCTGAGAGAGAATAATGATACATGAAATGTAAGTTGAATATTTATTAGTTAAAGATATTGAATTGAAAACTTCAGATTGAAAAACTAGAAACTGATTCTGAAAAATAGAGATATATACAAATCTTACAATTCAGGTTAAAATATTTGATGATACTGATATAAATGAAAATTTCATCACAGCTATGCTGCAATGATAAAATATTCTGACATTCTAAGATCTGATAAGTGATATTTCTGAATATCAGTAAATTATCAGAGATGACTTTGCTGAGATGATTCAGAATACTCTGACAGTAAAAAAGAGACATCTGATAAAAGATGTATGAAAGAAGATGTGAAAAAAGATTAAATTTTCAGTGAAAGACAGATCAGTGATGTAGAGATTTTCAACACAATCTATTTATATTTCAATATATTTAGTTTTCTATGAGTATTATATATAAATTAGTTAATATATACTTTAATATACATAATTAGAATATACCTGTGTTGATATTCACTGAAGAAAGTTGTTATATTCTCTATCTTGCAATTTGTATTGTTATAACTGTGAAGAATTCACTGATTTCACTGCATCAGAAAATCATGAATTCTGTAGATATATTTCTACCAGTGCATTGAACACTTGTTTCTAGTTAATAGAAATGATTTTGTATTCAAAATAGCTGTAATTCATTCAGTGATAGCCTGCATAGAAAGTATTCATTCTGAAAAAAAGATATGAATGAAATTCATCAGATGCACTGATTACACTTAGAGATGAAATATGAAAGTATTTACATTTATTGCATGATAACCTGCAAAGATGAATCAATAATATATATAAAGACTCACATTTTTCTTTTCCTTCTTTTCTTCTTTCTTCTTCTTGCAATAATAATACACTGTAAAGATCATTTTCAGCTCACTCAGCTCATTCTGCTCTTCTTCATCTCTCAGTTCAGTTAGTATTCTGTCAGTTGTAATAGAAAGCTTTTAATCAGAAAAGTTCTAATCAAGATATCTTGTCTGTATAGTATATCAAGAATGTCAGCAATTCATCATATTAGTATCAATCACAGTAATAATAATAATAGCAGCAGTATTAATTATAGCAATAATAATAATAGTAGTAGCATCAATCATAGTAATAATAGTAATAGCAGCAGTATTAAAATAATAAGTAATACTCTCAAGTATATCTGTGCAGCCGCTGTAAAGGTCTAAGAGAAGAAAGTAAGCAGCTGTTTAAATACCTCAATAAAGCAGTCTAGTAAACTGATAATGTGTGAGTACTGTGTTAAGTATATTTTTTCTCATCATTTGAATACTGCTTATGACAAGATAAAGAGAAGCTCAAAGCCTTGTATAAATTACAATCATGAGAAAAAGAAATATACAATTATCTCTGAAGTATTAAAAGAATAAGTTAATAGTCTGATCTGAACTCATGAATTTTATCATTCTTCATCAGATCAATTCAAGATAATAATAAAAAAGACTATATTAAAATCAGTAAAGAATCTCTTAAAACAAATTAAGAAAGTCAAGACTCAGTGACAGAAAGCAGAAGCTCAATATATGAAAAGCATTAATATTGCTCTGAAAGCTCTGAATATCACAATCAGTGCTGCTGAAAAGATAAAAATTGAGATTGAAAAGACAAAGCTGAATATTGAAAAGACAAAGCTTGAGCTTAAAAAGAAGAAAGTCATCATTGAGAAGATTAAATTGAAAATTGAGAGAAGCAGGCTTACAGTGCAGTATGAGATTTTAATAACAGTAAATCACTATATTAAAGCTTAAAAATAAGCAATGATGAATCTTACAAATGTTATAAACAATGTCAATCAGAATGCATTGAATATTGCTATCAAGACATGTGAAATGTTAAAGCAATTTAAGAGATTCACTGATTTCTGATAGAAGTGCAATGAGAAATCTGATAACAGTTACAATTCTCTTTCTATCTTCACTGCTGATGCTGATGCTAATACTGATGCTAATACTGATATCTCTGCTACTGCTGCTGATCTTGCTCTCTCTCCCTTCTCTGATGTTTCAACTTTAGTTGATTCTCTGACTCTGAGCAGCTCTGAAACTCTTGACATTCTCAGAGAAAAAGTAAGTTAGAATCAGTGAAATGATTCTCAGATTTATATACAAGTTAATAATAATATAGATGAATAAATGCATCACTTTTAATCTTCTTTCTGAAACTCTTTCTCTTAAACAGTGAATAATTCTATTGTTTACATTGAATTCGCAGATGTGAAAGTATCATCAGGTTTAGAAAAATGAGTTAAATCTCTATATATAACTGACTTCTTCATCTTATAAATATCTTTATCATGTGATACAAACATTTGTTGGTAATTACTATACCTACTCTAGTCACGTGTCATCTCAACCTATTCATTTAGTGTAACTCGCGTAGATAGATTACATATATAACACAATAACATTATTTTTTAAGAGGTTATAAAGCTCTTCACAAGCAATAAATAACTGCAATAACATGCTAACTACATCTTCACATATTGTTACGCGTGTCTAGATGCTTTTTTTATGATTGATTTAACTCATGATTCATCTAAGATCCGGGGGGACACCTGACATAATAAAAGAATATGTGTCTTCAAGATAAAGAAACAAGATAATATCAGAGCATCAAATGCAAGATCACAGATCACTGTTAATATTAATAATGAATTGAAAGACAGCTCTCAGAGTATTTGAGCTGAATGAAATCACTGCAGAGAAATAGTCTGATAAGTTCAATGAATATGAAAATCTGATTGAAGATATCAGTGAGATATTAGATAATACAGAGAGCTCAAGTAACTGAAATAATAATAGCTCAGTAAGTGAGAAGAGTTGCATGAGACTAGAAATTGCAAGACTTCAGTATAAGATTGAGTGAATGAAGATCAGTAGAGATGACTCTGCAGATGATGAGATAAAAGCAGATCTAACAGAATATCTTTAATAGAAAGAGAAGATATCTATTATAATAAAAGTTCTTAAAGAATTCAGAAGCTAAGTAAGACTTATTAAAAGATTAATAGTTCTCACTGAATTCATTAACTACTTAATATGAAGAGAGGAAATTCTTTTAACTACAGAACAGTCTGAAACTGATAATATTCTTAAAGATAATAATCTTAATGAGAATGTTATTAAAAACATGCAATATTTCTGAAAAGAATGCAATCTTTGATTATATAATTATATATAGTCTGCAATTGCTCTGCAGGCTAAGACTCATTTCACTATACTTAAGAAATTCAAGTTGTCTGCTTATGCTCTATAAACTATCATAGAGAATAACTTTTCTGAGAGTCTGCTATCTGTAGAATCTGTCTGTTTAAGAAGCTGATTAGTATAACTGCTAAGTTAAAAGACTCAGATCATGCTTTCATTGAATGTCTGATTGTTATAAGAACTGATTATATCTGTCTAGAATATAGAATCCCGGATGTTGTGTTTTTTAACAGACTGCTTACAGAAGTTAACAGAGATTGAGTCTCATTCATAAGAAATTAAATGAATCAAATTGACAAAGACAATACTCAACTCTTAGAGAATGATTTTATAAGTCTGTACTGTGATATTCTTTTGCAGCTCTCTGCTGTTAATGAGATAAGTACTGATACATCTAGAAACTCTATCAACAACGCGCAAGACAAGAATAAGAAAGACAAGAATAAGAATGTTGAATTCAAACCTGAATGTAGAGGTAATGACACAAAGACATACTATCATTGTCAAAAGATTGATCATCTTCAGACTGACTATTGAAAGAAATACTCTGAGAAATGTCCTTTGAATTTGAATTTCAACACTAATAGAAATAAGAATAAAGACAAGAATGTGAAGAATACAGATACTACTTCTGTTCACAATGTTATAAAGTAAGTATTTTGCATCAAAGAAAAGGCCTATGTGAGTAATCAGAAAGAAAAAGATATCTGAATTCTAGACTCTGAATCAGGTACTCATGTCACACTTCACAGGAATCATATTGTGACAAAATCTCAGAAGATGAAAGTAATGTTGAAAATGACAGATGAAATGATGATCTCTGCTACAGCTATAGAAGATACAAAGATTTCAGTGAAAGAGATAAATATACTGTTAAATAATATCTACTATATTTCAAAGTTAGAAGTGAATTTTATGAGTATAAATAAGCTTATACATCAGAGTTATACCTATAAGTAGTTGATATATGAGAATAATTATATTATGTTAATTATGTCTTCTGACTGCATATTCTCATTTACAGTAAGATTAAATGAAAATGATATCTATGAGATGAAAAGGCTAATTACATACAGAAACTTGATTCAGTTTACTATACTCAATGATGATTTTGAACCTGCAAACACATTATAAGTGAAAGATAACATAATATTGACACTATCTGACAGAAATAACACAAAGATTATAGAACTTATGATGATATAATAATATTAAAAGCTAGAACATCTGAATCTCATAAATATCATAAAAATGATAGCTGTAACGTGGCGGAACCGAAGCAGTGAGTAGTTAGCAGCATTATATAGAGATAGTTGTTTAAGAAGCTGTATAAGTGAGCTTGACTATCTTACTTGAATAGTGAGCTTGTAGGCTACAGAGTTATTATGAGAATATCACAGATATGATACTTAGTATACTAAGAAGATTGTATAAGACATGCAGTAACTCTTGTATATATTTCAGTCTGAGAAAAAACAAATCACTGACTTCTTTTATAAGAAGCCAGCATCTAGCTATTCTATATAGATAATGAGTGAATACTCTTCTCTTATTTCATGAGTAAGAATAGTCAGAGTGATATCTCAGTAGTGTCTTACTATTAAGAAAAAGTAATCTACTGATCTTATATAGAAGTGAGATTCTTATATTCATCAATCAGATCTTTCTATAATATATCTGAATAATATCATAGAGTAGTTGAAAATCAGTTCAGACAGAATAAAATCATCTGTATAAAAGTAATAAGTCATGTGAAACTGTAACAGAGTCTTAATATAGTCAGAAGTGTGATAATACTCTTCTCTTTAAAAGTATAGTTCTGATGTTCTCAAGATTACTGAATTAGAAATTATCTTTATTATATAGTAACAGTTATCAACTGATTTGATAGTGTGTATACTGTGTATAATATAAAGAAATAGATGAGTTTTTCTACTGACTATATAGATCTTTCTTTTCTCATCTTCATTCAAATCAAATGTATAATAAGTGAGTTTCTTATATATCAATTTGAAATGTGAAAAATGTAGTTAATAAGTGACTTACAGATCTCTCAATATATTCTGTTCTATATATGAAATTCTCTGCAAAAGTGATATATTTTAGAGACAAAGCTAACAGTAGTAATAGAATTTTTTAAAAAGAGTCTTTTCTTTCTGTGATACATTTTTCTTCCTTCTTCTCATCTGTAATAGTGAGTGCATGAGAGCATCATTCTTGAGAGATAATAAGAGGCTTATTCTGATATTTTCTAGTGAGTAAATCTCTTTGTGATGCAGCTGCAGCTAGACTGACTGTGTGACTATATCTGAGACCAGAATCAGAATTTTTGATAGTTTCATTGCCAATTTAACAGATCTTATTACACAGTTCTAATATTAGATAGTAGTCTCATACTGTCTCAGTAAGACTTACTGTCTACTCTTATCACATTTTTCAAATGAGATCATGATTTTCACCTCTCAATTTAAATTATTTTTATCACTTTAAATGACTTTAAATCTCATTTGAGTGTTATCAAAAAGCATTACTTTTTAAAAAATTAAAAATAGTTTAAAAAAAACCTTAAAATGTCTAAAAATAGTAACTTTATGCCAAGAATGAGACTAAATGATGTGGTTCGGGAGAACGTACGACCGTCGGATAATAACGCGGCCGCTTCCGAACTACTAGCGTACGAATGTAAAGGGGGCCCTAGCAGCCACTAATTAATTTAGCGTACGAGATTCAATATATAAGAAGCCGGCGTACACCTGTAATCATACACTGGCTTAAGCAATCTTTGAATCACATCTGATAGCATGTTTAAAAACCGATGAGAAGCACAGACTCCTGCAGAGTGTGATAATTTCATCTATGAAGTGATTCATAGTTATCATATCAGTGTGATTCTAGAATGTCTCAAAAGATAGTGTATGAAGAGTAGTGAGCAGAAGAGCATTTGATTGATACTGCTTTACTTATTGAGAAAAAACTTCACACTCAGGTGAATGCCATGTATGTGAACAGATGAGATGTGAGAAAAGAGATGAGAGTAATAAACCAGATTCAAAGAAGACTGCTCTTCACTCAAAGATATAAAAGAGAGAAGTGATCAGCACTGAAGTTATAAAATGATAACAGAAATTATATAATGATATAATGATACAGTAATATAATGATACAGTGATATAATGATAGACATTATATAATCAATGAGAAATCACTGAAATGAATATCTTCTCTAGCTGATATGAATAACACTCTTCTCTGCTACCTGAATCAGAAGATATACAGAATCTCTCAGAGAGTTTACATGAAATAGTAAGAAAAGCAGTTAAAACTGCTGAACTGAAATTGAAGCTCTGAACATATACAAGAATTCTAAACAAGATTGAGACCTTGTGTACATAGTGACAGACTGAGATGAAAGTTAAACAATAATTGACATTCACTGTGAACTAAGTATTCACTATGAAGAGCTTTGCTGATGCAATTATCATTATTAATAAGAATAGAGAAAATCAGATCTTAGATCTGCAGTAGAAGATTGAATATTTATATAAATAGATAACTACACTGAATCTGAAGATCTCATCACAATTATTCACAATCTCTTCAGAAGTATACACATCATTGAAGATCACTGTACAGAATGAGAATCTGAGTATAAAATATATTAAGTCAGAAGATCTACTGAAGCTATCAAGCTTTAATAACAACTGAAAAAATGATGCTGTAATCAGCTGACTAAGTCAGATGTAATTATATTATCAGATTGAATATAAACTTATAAGCAGACAGTTAATGAAATTCTAACAAGTCTTAAGATATGTCACATTTCTACACAGAAAAACAAAGTCATTATAAATAACTGATAAAAAGATAAA